GGTTTTTGAGTTCCTGTTGTAGTTGTAGGGTTTTTTGATTTCATGCTGGTGTTTATTCTCCTCTTACAGACCAACTTTTCCCATGACTCTCTGTGCTTCGAGACTCCCAAGCAATTGCGAGCTCTTTAGGCCGACTTGTATCCATTTTTGAATTGACATCTTAGCTGTAGAAGGACATTTATTTGGCATTCAAGTGCTAAATTAAAATGCAAAACTGGTTTGCTTTTAGTTTAATAAGAAATGTGATTAGACAAAAAGTAAAAGAATAGAAAAGTTATGGTAGATAAATACTGCTCCTGAAACTACAAATGAAATGTAATGGCTTGATCTTTATCTTATGTCGCTGGTTTTTCAGAATATAACTATTATAATAATCTTTGAGACCTTCAAATAACATAATACCTAGTATTAAATAGTTAACTGTGTGCCAGACAAAGTGCAGTTGATTTAATATATAGTATACTATTTAATTCTTAAAATAATCCTGAGAGCAGAGGTTCTATTATCTCCGTATTACATACAAATGAGAAAGAAGCTGAGAGAGATGAATTGCCCAAAGTCATATAGTAACTGGAAGATATATATCAAAAAATGTATGTTTAAAAAAGCAGAATATAACATCGTGAATACATTATGATCTCAGACACACTCACACACACGTGTGTATTTGAAGGGCTAGAAGGTACTACACCAAAATATTAACAATAGTTACTTTTAGGGGTAGGGAAAACATAATTCTTGGATCATCCTTCATAATTTCTTACAGGCTTTACTTACTATATGTCCGTTATCTTTGTAACTGTGAGTGGGAATTGCTGTTATTTTCAGTCTAACACCTTAACATAAGTCTTGCATATGTGCACCAATTTCCACATCTCTGCCCTCACCATCTCACATGTTTGAGAACTGTAAAGCTCTATTTCTTCAGTAGTTTTTGTATTAATCTGTGTGTCTTTCAGGATACTTTTCTCATTCCTGTGTAGATTACAAAATTTTGAGGCCATCGTCTCACTCATCTTTGTGTCCCTCCAGTCCCTAAGACAAGTCCAGCACACAGAAGACATTTCTTAAGGTTCATTGGATTTATTTCACTCATAAATTCCAACCACAGTGAAATAATTGGAAACGAATTCTTTAATTTCCAAACATGTTCTTTTTTTTCCTCTTAAGGCGACTCGATTACACAGCTGCCCAAAGTCTGAATCCTGGCTGTGAGCCTTGATTCCATTTTCTTTTTCACCACCTCTTCAGATCGAACTCATTATCGAGGCTCTTTTATTTGCCTTATTTAATATAGTTTAATCAGAGTTTTAATATCGTTTAATAGAGCTCTTATCTTTTTTTCCTCTGTTGCCCCACGGCTGCTACTTTAGTGCAGATAACTGCCATCTCCTACCCGCATTCCTGTGGGAGCCGAGCCCCTACTTCCCCGGTTCTAATCCCCACTCCACCCGGGAGCCAGAGTGGTCCTCCACACGTCCGCCTGTACCGTTTCCCTGGTCAGGTTGCTCTCCGTTGCTCTCAGGATAAAGTCTAAGCGCGATGCTCTGTGAGTCTCCCAGGTCTGACCCCTCCCCGTGTCGCTGACCCCCGTTGTCTCCGCCTCCCTCCTGGCCCCCTGAATTCTAGCTGCGCTGAATTACTTTTGGTTCTAGAACACTTTTTTCCTTCTCTCCTCTCCATAGCATACTCTGTACCTTTCAAATGGCTGATTCTTCGGTGTTCACTGATCCTACCTCACGTGTGACTTCTGAAAAGCTCTCTCTGACCGTCCGTGCAAACCCTGTGACCACCCTTTTGGCACATGCCATGCTATGTAGTAATCGCCTAGTTATGGAAATATGCCTTTCTGAGGAAGGATTCCATCGGGTCAGGAGCTCGGTATGGACAGGAACCGTTTAGGCCCAGGAGCCAGCGTGGCGTGGGCCAGCGTGGGCCTGTCGTCAGTGTTTGTTGTGTGACGAGTGTCTCTGCAGCGGCCTCGCCGCGTGTTCTCCCGAGAGGCGGGAGACCTGACGGAACTCCCTCAGCTTCCTGCTTGCCCACCCGACTTACACCGTTTGTCTTGATTCTTTTAACTCTTCTCTGTTTGGGAAAATAGTTAACTACCGAAAACAGAAAGTGGAAAATGGCAACGCAGCGGGAGCGGAGGGGTATTCACCATCTTTCAGGGAGTGCAGTGGTGAGAGGGGAGGGCCGTGGTACCACATCCGACAGAAACAACATGAAGCGAGGGTGCTCGGGAGGATGGGGAGGGAGTGTGGTGGCCAGTGACGGCAGGACCAGCGGACAGCTCAGGAGGCGGGCAGCGGGCGGGACGGCCTCCCCTCCCTGCTGGCCCTTGTGGCCTTCAGCGCGCAGCGGCCGGCTGACTCCTCAGCAGACCGAGCCCCAGGCGGTGGCCGCGGGGTTTGGGCCTCGCCATGGCCGGCGAGCCGTCAGCGTCTGGTGAGAGCGTCTTCGCGTCTCCTGGAGCAAGCGCTTTCCAGCGCCCGGCCCGCCCAACGGGTCGCCGCCGCTCCCTGACGAGACCGTCGTTCAGGACGCGGTTTCCTTCGCGTTTGTTTGGGTGGCTTCCGTGTGTCTCATGCAGGTGCTTCAGAGGTTTACGATCTGATGTTAAGCCCTTTTAAAAAACTCTTTTTAAAGACTTTTTAAAGGACTAATTAACAACAAAACACACTCGTATGTATGAGGTGTTATCATATTGAAGAGTTCCAGGTTATATCGCCAGGTTATTTAGGTTCACACAAACCTGAGACAAACATCCTCCCTAGCCGTTCATAGGCATAGAATTGAATGTATTTGAATGTCATTGATTACGAAGCGTGTAGCTCTGCACTAATCTCTTGAGAAAAGCGTGTGTGTGTGTGTGTGGAGAAAAGCGTGTGTGTGTGTGTGTGTCCCACTGCTGAAAGGCACACAAACAAAACTGGTCTAAGTGAGCCACTTTATTCAGTGACCTTGTTGCCAAATCCACTGCCATTTCTTCTTAATTTTCTATACTTTCTGATCTTTCTACCTCCTTAAAACCCTCTTTCCGGATTGTTTATTTTTGAGAGGTATGCTAAAATATTTAGAAGTGTGTACTATCTGCAGTCTACTTTAAAAAGTTTCAACAGAGAGTTTAAAAATTGGTAAAGTGTGTGTTTTTGTGTCTGAACTCCGTGTGCGTGTGTAGAGAGGAGCAGGAGCACACAGTAAAGCCAATGTGGCAAATACTAAAAATGGGTGAATTTGGCAAAGAGTATATATGTTCCTACTGTACTGATCATTCAACTCTTATGTATGTTTGAAACATTTCAAAATTAAATTACAGAATAAAAGGACAAAGAAAAGTTCAGAGACCAGAGAACACAAACAGGAACTACCCATCAGGGTGGACGGCTCTGCTGCACGTCTGCCCTCAAGCCGGTTTTACCAATAATAGTCGCCTTCTGTGGCAAACGTCACTTTGACCCTGTTGACGATACCTGGATGTTTCTTAGGGCCATACGCTCATTTACACGGATCTCCAGTTTAATTTTAATTTTGTTAATTGGTGAAATCAGAAAAAAAGAAAGGTCAAATAAAACACAAAGCTGATGATGCCTCAGGGAAACATATACATCTCACTCACGGCATTAAACTAGATGAAGAGGTTGGGATTGCAAAGTGGCATTAAGCGCGAGAGACCTAAAAATGCCATGCCTTTTAATCCAGTAATCGTACTTCTTAAAATAAGTCCCAAGAAAGCAGTTTAGGAAAAAACTAAATTAATCGTGGGATTATGGCTGATAAAATAGCATTCTTCTGGTTCTGTGGACAAAAACAACAAAATTCTCCCCCTGCTACCCTCAAACCCTCACCTGGAGGCCTGCAGAACCTCTCTGGTGTGTTTTCACCATCAGCATGTGGTCACCCTAGTTCAAGGTCACGTTTTTATTTATAAGGATGTTTGTGATATCTCCTTAACTGGTCTCCCCGCGCTCTCCTCTCTAGAGAGCCTTGCCCGAGAAGCCTTCCTGAGGCATGGTCAGGTCGTATCACTTTCTAGTTTTAAACCTTCCATGACTTCTTGCTGTGAACAAAGAGATTCTTGAACTTCTTCCTCTAATCTTCAGAGTCTTCCCCTAGGTGGCTTCAGCTTTTCTTCTTTTATTTCTCTCAGATCTTTTTTCTTCTCATCCTCTTTATTCTTCCTTCTGAGCCTCCTGTGATTATTTT